ATGAATTGTGTTTCTTTTAATTTGCACAAGTTCATTTGTGTTTTAAATGTCTGTTCACATGATGCCAGATAATATTTTTGTAGCAATTGTGTGTTTGTGTAATTAGCCTTTATTTGCATTGATAGATGTACGTGATTAATTGTAGATTGAAAAGCAATTAAAATGTGCAACCCAGATGTTGCATTTTCATGAACGTCTCTTACAGTGAAATTCATGGGATGGTGGTGTGTGTGTGTGTGTGTGTTACGAATCACTAAGTGACTTTGGACAACCATGTCGACTAAAGCAACTAAATGTGAGGAATAGTAACACAAGTAACTGTCTGAAAGGGACATTTGGCTTTGAGGTTGATAACAGGATTGCGCCATGACAAATCTGATTCTCCAATTAGAAGTGGAAGCCAAAATATATATCATGTAGCTGAACAGAACTGATATTTAAGCCAACATCAGAGAGAAGTCATTGAAAAGCCCCAAAAAAAAGAAAAAGTTATGGTGATCATCTGCTGGAGATTGTGTGATATGACAAAAAACTCAGTGCTTCAGAATTCAAATCATTGTTAAACTAAATGCTTAATTCATTTATAGGTTGTGTAGATGGTGATGTGTAGAAAAGTAGGCAAACCAATCAGTTCACTTTTGTGGAATAATTATTTTTTAATACAAAACAAGAATTCATTGTAGGTACTATACAATAACAGGGGTATTTCTGCCTCATTCTTCAAAAGCTTTTTTTAATGCTCCTTATAATTTACAAACACAATCATAAACGCATTAATGCCAATTATCAAGCAACATGCTAAGTTACATGCTGCCTTTTAGGCCCGGTGATTAACCAGGAGTCTTTCAACTGACTGACGCTTGTTGGAAGACACGTGCTCTGCTGAAGAGTCACGCTGCACATCAGGGATGTTGTTGAAGCTGAGCCTTGAGGGCACTTGTGTGACTACTCTGGGCCAAGACAAGAATATCGTACCTTGGAGATATTAATAAAACGTGTGTGAAAATATAATAGATTTTGCTTCATGTTGGAGGTTATTCGTCAAAGGATGCTGTGCCTGGAGGTCTTTGCATGGACGGTAATAGCATGGAGTCAGGGGCATCCAGCGGCCCAATCCTTCTTAGACTAGCTGTTAAGTAAACATTTCACGTCCAGTCTGTGTGCAGAGTGTGATCACTGTAAGGCCATGGATGCTTTGTTGACATCAGGGGTATGTGTATGTGGAGCACACTGTGTGCTCTCCCTTCCCCCCTCTGCGTGCGCGTGCGTGTGCGGGTCTGGCAGCGTAACATCTGTGCGTACGCGGTCGTGATTGTTGTGAAGATGGCGGAGGGGGAGACAGAGAAGGAATATGACACACGGAAAGCTCTCGAGGAGCTCCGAGAGCGGTTCCAGGGTCTGACCACAGCTTTGAAAGAGAGCTCGCAGTCTCCGTTGGAAGCCTCTCTGCGTTTCTGCCAGGAGTTTTGCCAGGTTAGCCCGTTCTCCTGCTGCTCATCCCGGCCAGCCTGCAGCCCCTCTGGCTTCCTGGCCGAGGATGCGCGTCTACGTTTGCTACAACAATGTAGCTAAGGAGCTAGCTGCCTGGCTAGCTTTTTCTGGCATTTCAAGATGGGGAAAAAAACTCCTCCGTGATTTTCAGCCATTCTTTCAAGGACGTTTGTCCGTGGCATGAACTTATGTGCAAAGTCTCACCATCCGCGCGGCGAGAAGTCACACCAATGTGTGCGCGCCGTGCATGTATTACTCGTATTTTCCAGGCCACATAGCTAATGGCAGATGAACGTTGCTAGCTGGTATGCAGGGTCCCCCTGCCCTGTGCAGTGGTCATGCTGTGCAAAAAAAAAAAAAAAATGGGTAGCTACGTTAGCGAGATTTTTCAGGGCGATTGCATTGATATGCATTGAATTATACGTCTGCATTCCTCGTAGAAAATACCATTCAAACTTTATAACGCTTGCATCTTCTTGCTGGTTTAGGTTTTCGCTGAGTGTAAAAAGGGGGTTACTTTGGTAAAGCTGTTTTATTGGACGGAAAGATCAATGATTTTTTTCCAAGGTGCTAGCCCAGGCCTTTTGCACTAATTAATCCAGCGAGCCACATCATTGTTTATTACAGCGATATCGCCAGCACCGGCTAAATGTGTTAGATTGATGTCAATGTTAGAGCGAGCGATCCGCCTGCAGCTGACTGAGACAGTGATTTAAAAAGGGAAAGTGTGGCAGTGGTCACTGACTCCATTACACATCCTCCTCATTAATTTGCCCTGGCCACGAAAATATCATGCGAGGTCTCCATTTAGCTGACATCCAACTGAGACAGCAAAGGGGTTGCTCTCATTGCACCAAATTAGTTTTTGGCTATTGGTTTGTTTTCTATATCACATTTACGCAGGAATTCATTGAACTGAACCGTTATTTGAGCAACAAAAGGGGACGAGCCCCGGGCTGCATGCTGTGGTTTTGATCAGTTAGGTCATGATGGAGGCATTAATGGATGTCTATGAATATGTGTGCGTAAGAAATGGAGGGAGTTCTCATTGATGAAGGTGAGGCGTTAGTCGAGCTGGGTCATAAGGGAAGAAAGGGGAGGATGCCAAAGTCAGCCAAGCCACACACAACTTTGGTGCTTTGTTGTCTTAGGTGTCTACATCTCGGCTGTGTTGTGTAATCAGTGTATAATAACAGGATTTTTTACGTCCTTGATAGTTTGTGAGGGTATGGCTTTTTTTCTTCATCTAAAACTTAGTTGTGGCTTTTTGAAATTAAAGCACAAATTTGAAAGTAGACTTTTTTTTTTTTTTTTTTTTTACATTTAATCTAAATTGCCATCACATCTTTGTATTCGGTCTGAGAACAGAATAATTATGTCCTTCTTTAATCACTAAACACGTTTGATTTTTATGCTGTCATGATTATGAAGCATACATTTTGTCCTTAAGTTTTCTCCGCTCTTTTCTATTGGTCAAGGAGTATCACTAAGCATTATGTGCCTATATGTAATTACACAACTGCTGAGTTTAGAAAGTATAAACATCTTTAATGAGGACAAAAACAGAAGGAAAAATGAGCCTGAAACCCTAAATATTATTGTCATTATTGATAAAGCTGCCAGTTTAATTGATTATTTACCAAATACAAGACAATAGTGAACAGTGCCTATTAATTAGGTTTCCCATTTTTTCCAGTGTGAAAGGTAATGTCTCCAAATGTTTTTTTCCCCAGACAGTTGGCCAAAAACAAAATATAATTTGAAATGATTATAAAATAGAGGAAAATATAAATTCTCACATTTGAAAAGCTGGAAACAGAGAATATTCTGCATGTTTTGCTTGATGATGGACAAATTGTTAGTGTTAAAGAAATATATTTGGGATTTAAATACACATTGTTTGATTTTACGAACATGATTTCCATTATCCAGGTATTTTTTTAGCCTGCTATAATATAAAAAACAATCACTCCATCAGTGGCTTTCTTGTAATTATAGTGTTTTTCTGTTTCCCAGGTCCTTGTGGAAAATGCTGGCCGTTGGAAAACCGATGAGGATCCACTGCCTTTACTGGAGGTCTACACTGTGGCCATCCTCAGCTTTGCTAAGGCTAATTCCTGTCTCTACTCCGAATGTGAAAACGTGCCACTCCTACTTGAAAAGTTAGCACTGTGAGTAGGAACTCTGACATGGGTGTTACTGGAAATAAGATTTCCCATAATCCTGTATTTTTCTTATTCTTTCTAACGGCATCTTCCTTATGAACTTGATACGTGTTACACATTAATGACACATAATGGGAAACCATCTCCATTAAGTCTTTCCTGTAGTAGTGTAAGTAGCTGTGGCAAAGAATGGGTTGCTGGTTTTGGATGTGCACATGACATGAGACCCAACGCTTGCTCTGCAGTTTTACTGATGTAGTTTTGTCTTTGGCCGGCTCCTCAATGAGGAATGCAAGGACAGATGGCAATCTTCCACAAAAGATGCACAATATTTGACAATAAGAATAAAACAAAACGCACCCAAATCCCAAAGTAAATTTAGGTATGAAAAGTTTTGAAATACTGTTCAAGCTGTATACAGGAACTAGACCGCTTTTCACACAATGTGCTCTAAAAGTACTTTGAAGGCAAAGTCCTTGAGGCTGTAATTGGAATAGAAATGTAGGCTAGCTCTTTGGGAGCTTTGACATATTTGGGATGAGCTACAGACTATACTTTGCTCATGGAGATGCAGTGCACACACAAATACAGACGCAAGTATTAATAATGTCAAGGTTGTTGCTTTTTTTTGGTAAATTATTGATCACAATTACTGATCTGCCCACTTTGAGCTGTTTTTCCATTACTACCATATGAAAGACAACAGGGACTATTTAACAACACCGACACCTATATTGATCCGTGTAACTAAAGTGTCTCTCTGCTGTCGATTTACTCCCCTATTTTTCCCGTTCATCTTTATTACATTTCCAAAATGCCACACTGTCTTTACAGCCCGACACTTCGTGAATAGTTATTCTTGTACGTCTCCCCTTAATTTGGGGAGTGTGTGCACAGCCTTGACCTAAATGTGGCTTTAACAAATAACTGTGTTGGGTTCGCAGGAGCTGTGCGGAGCTGTTGCTCTTAATGCCCCAGCATGTCCCTGGTGCCTTATGGGAGGGGTTTCAGTCCTCCATGAAGGTCAGTATTTCTAGGGACTCTGTCTGAGGCTTATATCTGCAGTGATAAGCAATGAAAGTTGTTTGGTTATTAGAATGCATTTGATTTAGCTCATCATTGAAAGGTAATAAAAACATACGAGCTAAATGTTTGGATCTGTGGGAATGTCTTGACACTAACAACATTTCATGAAATGTTTTGTTCACTGCTGCTTTTCAAGAAATGTAAACTGTTGCATGGTGACACGTTCGGTACAGTAACGTTGTCTGAACAGTTATTTTAGAATGTAGACAGTCTAACGGTAAGTATGACTCACTGAGGTTTTAGTAATGAGGTTACTACATCTTTATTTATCTTCTGTTGCAGTTGGCACACAGCCTCTTGCAAGAAAGTGGGAGCACACAGCTTTGCCTCCTCTCAATTCTAGCGCAACAGGACGGCGTCTGGTCCAACGACACACTAAGCAGCATCATGTCCAATCAAATCCCTCAAACTGAGCAAGGTCAGTTCTTATTGGCTTTGAGGATGCACTGCACTGATGTGTTCAGCTGTAGTTGCACGAAATTGTAATTGTTCAATGTGTGTATTATACTTGTGTGCAGCTTCTTACCCTTTGCCTCCGTCTTTTTCTACTTTTTCTTTCATAGTTCATGAGTATCTTGAGTTGGAAGGTGCCACGCTTCTGAATATGAGAATAAAGCATCTAATCAAAGTGGACAGTGTTGATAAAGCTGCTGTACTCGCAAAAATGTGCTCAGAGTATCCGGGATATGAAGGAAAGGGAAACTTCAAGCAAACCTACTTGCTTTGCATCTGCATGACCAAAAGTCAGGAGCAGCTAATGGACGAGGTAAGAGATGACTCACAGTAACACAGTTACTTGTACACACAAAGTCATTACGTTGGCCGTTTCAACAAGTGATCAGTGGTGTTATATCTTATTTTATCAATCTGCAAACAGAAACTTTAGGCTATTTTTAAGTCTTACATGTTTTTTGTGTAACATGATCATTTAAACAAACCAACAATTGGACCGAAGACGGACTTATTTGAACTTGAATCAAACAAGCAAACACTCAACATTTGTTTGATTCATCATCACAAACTATCCCAACAGTGTTGCCAGATGTGACAGATAGTCATTGGATCACATTTAAATGTACTGTTTCTTTGATTTTCTTTTCTCTCTTTATTCCTAACAGATTGCATCAATAGACTGTAAAGATGAATCCAACCGAAAGCAATCTCTCACAATAATATGCACAAAGATACCCTCACTGTTGAGCACATTGCAGAGGCAGACTCTGTGTTTAGTACTTAAGGAAAGATAGGCCATGGAAGTATGATGGAAGTATGTTTTGACTTTCCATGATTTGTTCTTGTCATTTTGCCCTTTAAAGGGATTATGAGAAAGGTAGCAAAGTGGCCAGTGAGTCACTGAGATCGTTGATAAGGTTGGTAGGTTTCACCTAATCCAGGAAGTGGCCCCACACTGGGGGACGCGATATAAAACGACACTGAAGGGAAGCACTAGTCCTCAATAAAAAGCCCTCCTGCACAGATGCACGATGAAGAAGGAACTTTCTTTCAACACGGTAATACTCTGTCTCTGAGTTACTCATGCTTTGATTCAAAAGACCGTTGATTGACCATTTTCTTTTGTCTCTGTATCATTAGATAACTGCTGTAACCACCATGGGCTCGGTGAAATCAGCTGGACTGTCTCTTCTTCTGTTGTCTTTTCTTATTTACATTGCAGATTCTTACCCCAACCTTGACTTATCAAACGGTAAGATGTCATTTTAATACAAGTACTTAGTACTATACTCTGAAATCTAGTACACAAACCAAGGATTTACTTCAGTAAATTAGCACAATTTGATTTAATTCATCTCTATTCACAAAGATTGTACACTGTGTTTTTAATCCTAGAACTGAAATGTCCCTGTATAACAAGTGGTCTCGTCTTTCTCCAGTGGGCTGTGGGGAGTGCACACTGAGGAGGCACAATTCATTCCATGGGATCTACCAGTGCATGGGCTGCTGCTTCTCCAGAGCGTACCCAACACCCCTCAAGGCCATGAAGACAATGACGGTCCCAAAGAGCATCACCTCGGAGTCAACATGCTGTGTCGCAAAGCACAGCTACGAGGTACAAGTACAGGTACAGACAAAAGATTTGTCTGGCAAACTTTTCTGTCAATGGTGTGCCTATTGAAATGAGTTTAAGTGGGAAATGTTAGACCGATGCTGACTAAATATTTCCCCAAATCTGCAGATGAAATACTCTGAAACAAAATGCTCCATGTTGGAAATAGTCGAGAATATTATTGTTGTACTTTTAGTCTAAATTGTATTTTATAGATCTATAGTTTTCAGATTTTTGTTCAGATTAGTTTGGGGATATTTCAGTGGCTTTGGTCACGTTAGGTCAGCAGTTGTGGAAAGTACATTTAACCGAGTACAATTGTGAGGTAGAACTTAAATAATTCAATTGTATGTTTAATTCTTCTACTGTATAACAGAAAAGACACGCTAACATTGTATTGCTAAAGAATAAACCAGTGGTTCCCGACCCTTTCACTTTAAAATAAAGCCGTGTGTACTTTGGGCCCCTTGCCATGTTTTAGAGATCTATTAGTTGTTTGCAGTTCCACCAAAGAGACATTTACCCTCAAACTTCTCAGATGGTTCACTGATTGAGGTTCAAAGAGGTAAAAAATATCAAATACTTCACAAAAAACAAAGAGTTGATATGAGACTTTGTTTTTTCTTTTCTACTTTAATCATCCCCCCCACACACAGATTTATCTAAAGACTAATTAGAAGGGACCAACCCCGGAACCATCTTGTGATATATGATCAGTCACAGGGGCAACGTTCTGCAGAATGAGTACTTTAAGTTTGGATTTATCAACGATTTATTTATATATATATGTGTACACATATGTTTTTTACATTCAAAGGACCTGAGAACTTTTAGTAATTCTCCAGATGTTTGGTTTTAATTTGGTTTGCAGTTTAATTCTGGGTTCTGTTGTTCAGAGGAGTTTAGAACATTTCGACTGCTCAAACTGCTAAAAAGAGCATTTTAATCATACACAAATACTGATTGACTTTAATAATAATAAAAGGTGCCATCACGTATTTGGGAATAAATATTTCCCCCAGGCTGTCAGAGCTGTTCACACTCAATTTCACTCCATTACTTAAAACAATAAATAACGACCTCCTCCGCTGGATGAACCTACCACTATCACTCATGGGCAGAATAGCTACAGTTAAAATGACAATACTTCCTAAAATAAATGACCTATTCACAATGATACCATCTCAACCCACTCACTCCTGGTTCAAATCGCTTGACTCAATCATTACTCAATTCTAGTGGAAAAATAAGACACCAAGAATTAAACTGGCCACTCTACAAAAACCAAAAACACAAGGAGGACTTGAAGCTCCACATTTTTTTTCACTACTATCTAGCAAATCAACTTCAATACATTGTTAAATGGATCCACCCCAACCAATCAGACAACACATGGTTAGCTATAGAACAGACAGTTTGTAAGGACATTCAGATTTCTGACCTACCATCTTTCAGCCAATCTATCAAACGCCATCCTTGTTTCAAAATACTAACAATAGCAGAAACTCTGACAGCCTGGTGGAAATTCCACAAAATCACGAACATCACATTTGCACCTTCAAATTGTACTCCCATATGGAACAATCCTGATTTTCTAAGTCACAAGACACCTCTAAATCTCCACACATGGTCCGCTAAAGGCATCACTCATCTGAAACAGATCTTCAATAATAACACCATGGTTTCATTCCCCCACTTGGTTCAGAAGTACGGCATCAGGAGCAATCAATTTTTGGAATATCTGCAACTCAAATCATCTGTTCAATCCAAACTCAACACTAAGGCCACTAACCTAGAACTACCCCCCTCAACCTCAGAATTAACTAAAATCCCCTCTTCAAAAAAGTTAATCTCAAAAATATGTAGAGTAATATCACAGTCTGACAAAACATCATCCATACCATCAGGAAAATGGGAATCAGACCTGTCCATCACTCCTGGTGCTGATTTATGGAATCAAGTTTGCAATAATATTTACTTCATGACTAAAAATGCCAATTTACAACTAATACAGTATAAAATACTTCACAGAATTCATTATACTGGGCAAAAAATGTTTAAAATGGGATTCACGTCATCATCTGTCCACATTGCACTTAAAACAGCCCAGATAGCTATGTTCACGCCACCTGGCACTGCACACCAGTTAATCACTTTTGGAAAGAAATAACTGAGTCACTGTCTGTCTTCCTGGGCTGCCTCGTCCCATTATCCCCTTCACTGTGTTTACTAGGAGGCATCTCAACAATGAATCTGAGCAAAACAAACCGCCGATTACTCCTCGTGGCCCTAACTATCGCCCAAACACACGCACTCACGCACACACACACACAAACACACACACACACGCACTGACTATATGATGTTTGCTGGCTTGTATCCCACTGTTCTTGTTGTCCTCTTGTTATGTCTATGTATTGTCTCTTGTCTTTCAATAAAAACTGTGTAAAATAAATTTAAAAAAAGAAATAATAATCACTCTTGTGTCTTCCTCCTCATCTGTGCCTCTTTCAGACAAAGGTGTCCGACCTACGGGTGAGAAACCACACAGAGTGCCACTGCAGCACCTGCTATTTTCACAAGATATGAAGACGGGAACTGGAGACCCTTCTGCAGCGCTCAGCTTGGCAATGAATTGTGTTTCTTTTAATTTGCACAAGTTCATTTGTGTTTTAAA